CCCTTTCCTTATCTCACTTAACAACTATTGCATTTGCTACTTCACATCTGTTGAAACTTTTTGGCAAGCACCAACATTGCCTTTGACTCTGACGAGGTGCTCTTCCAATTGAGTAATTCTACCTCCTTATATGAGCTTATCACAATATAGACAGTTTGTTTGATTCCTCTTGCAAGAATGAGCCACTCTTGCAAGAATGAGCCCAAGCAAGATCATCTATTTTAGAAGGGGCAGATTCAACAGAGTCACCTGTAGTAGTACCTGAACCACTAGTATTCATAATGTTATCCTAAAAAGATAAATACTAAGGAAAAAAACAAAGACTTACACAAAAAAGATTAAACGAAAAATAACAAGGCAAGCCTCTGAATTACACAACAAAAATTAAATGGAAAATAACAAGAATAGAAACTAAAAAGAAATACGCCAGGAGAAAAAGTGGGAAAATGCATGCAAAATGTAGAGAAATAGAAAAGGAATAACAATCACCCATTGCCAAATACACACATACACAATCGCCCACTGCCACACAACTGATTCATCATTCATGAATTGCAATCAAGCACACTAGAAGAAAAAGCGAATTGCAAAATGCACAAAGAAAAATGCACTACAGAGAAAAATGCATGCAAATTGCAAAATGTAGAGAAATAGGAAAGGAAGAACAATCACCCATTGCCAAACACACACACACAATCGCCCACTACCACTAGTCAAACTGTTTCATGAATTTGAATCAAGCACACTAGGAGAAAAAGCTAGAAAAATGCATACAAATTGCAAAATGTAGAGAAATAGAAAAGGAAGAACAATCACCCACTACTAAACACATACACAATCGCCATTGTCACTGGTCAAACCCCTAAGAATTTGAAATTCTAAATCAAAAAAGAAAAGGAAGAACAATCAAGATTTTCACTGATACCTGAGAGACGAAGCTGGGCTGTTGGAGAGTGGTGAAAAGATACATGAATCACTCTCCAAGATCTAGGGCTCGCGAAACAAGAAATGGAAAAAGAAAGTAGTGGCAACAAAGCATTCACCAACCCACCAACAACGAGTTGAAGACAAGGTTTGTGACGAAGGAGGAGGACAAAGAACTGCAATTTGAAATTGCAGGGTTAATTAAAAAGCCCCTAACCAAACCGACATTTTGGCTAGGGAATCTTTTTTTTTTTTAGTTTGGAAATAAGATGTACCAGTCAAATTTCGGTGTACCAACAATACATCAAATTTCGATCGATACATCAAAATTTGACTGAAATTCCTAAAATTTCACTGAAATGGAATTTAAACTTATATCATTTCGCTCAAGTGGAAAAACTGATATGTATCAACCATACTGACTAGTACGAAACAGTACCACCAACAGTGTTTACCACACACAATTGATGTAAAGTTGCGCCTATAAAATTTTTCATAAAAAATTAATTTTGAGGTGATAAAAGTTGACTCAATACCACTGACAAAAGAAATAAAATGTTCCAACTACAATGAAGACAAACCCAATATATAGTCAAATTCTTTAAAGCTATTTAATTAGACATTTAGGCCTTAGCCCGTAAACGAAGACAAACCCAATTTTCAATTTTTTTTTTTTAATTGTAAACAAAATATTATTCAATGGTAATGGATATTCTAACCTTATTTTTAAGTGTTTTTGAATAACATAAAATTTAAAGATAGCCATTTAATTAGGCATCTAAGCTTCGACTTTGTGATTCAACATAGGCAATTAAAACTAATCTGAACAAAGCCTAAAAGTACCAGACTTTTTCCCATTAAAGCTTGCATGGATGACAGCAGGCACAAAAGTGATAACTGGCGAGTGTGTGGCCTTGAATCAAAAGACTCATTTGTGCAATGAGACTCTAATAACATAAAAAGGTAAGGAAATTAGGGTTGGGAAAATATATTACAGCCATGATTTTGTTTCACTGATGAAATATAATTAAAAAAGAGCGCAATAAGAGTGCAATAATAGAAGTGGATGTTATAGTATTTATATTATATATATCTATAGGGAAAGGTGATTTATAGAATATCTACTAGAGGACATTTTAAAAATATTTTATTTTAATTAATATTTTTAAAAATCAATTGTTAAATTGAAATTTTTATTTATATAAGTTATATATATCAGTTTTTAAATTAATCTAACAGATTTAACTAATTTATTGCCTACACAAAATTTAATAATGTTAAATATATGTTAATAAATAGAGTTTATTTAATCAAAAAGTTATAAATATTAAATTAATTTAAAAATTAATATATATAATTTACATAAATAGAATTTTCAATTCAATTTTGGTTTTTAAAAATATTAATTATAAAATGAGTTTTTATGTAGGTTCTTGCAAAAAAATTTAAAAGGACGACATGTACTACATTAACCTCTTGTATACATACTCTTGTAACTAACAAAAAATTTTTACAAAATTAATACTAAATAGCTTAAAAACTTTGATTTAATATTAGAGATTTTGCTATGCCAAGTTGCGAATTCTAGATGTATAAAAAAATTATATACTTTTGTGTTGTTATCTCTCTCAGTTTACCATACAAGGCCTTCTAAGGATTTTGTTTTTTCCATAGAAAGATAGAAATTTCATTAATAAAAACTTTTTCTTGATGGGCATTAATTAATAAAAACTATAAATAGCTAAAAGTCACAAAGAAATATATTAGATCACAAGAAAGTTATAGTATAAAAAAGAAGCCTAAAACATATAGACATACTAGCTGTACACTTTAAATCTATTTATTTATGGAAAACGATTAATACATACTCAGTTTGATATAATTTTTAATATTTTTATAGTTCAATTATTAAAAATATAATATAAGTATAATTAATTCAATTAATTCTTGTATTCTATGTGTATGGATGCATCTTTAAATTTATTTACTTTTAATTTTATACTAAAAAGTAATAATTTTTTAATAAATATACTATACAATTTGTTAAATCAAAATGTATGTCAATCAAGATACTATCTAAATACAAAGTGACAATAACCTATAATGAAAAATATAACCTCTAAACTGAGGAAAGACC